TGTTTACTTTATTATTTGCCCCTTTTGTTTGTTTGTTTGTTTGTTTGTTCACCATGTAAAGCGGCCTTGGGTCCCTTGAAAGGCGGTATACAAATGTAATCTATTATTATTATTATTATTAAATAAGACAAACTGAAAGAGATTAGCATGTTAAATGCAGAGGCAAGCACACGTTAATTAAATAAAAATCTAATAATTAGACATGGGTGAAGATAGGTAGCAGCCTAGTAAGTGAGCATATGAAAAAGTCATAAAGTAGCAGCCATTTATAGAAGTAGTAAATATTTAGAAGTATATTTTGCACGCTGTAAAATAGCTGCCCACTGCTCATAGTACTAGGAGGGGTTAATGTACTGTATGTGTGTGTGTGGAGGGCTACCAAACACACAACGATGAATAAGTAACTCATACATATACTTCAAAACAAACAAGTAAGGAACTACTCCCTTTAATGCAGGACAGACACCCACCTTTCCCCGCTGTGATCTCCTGGCAGGCCTTCAGGATATCTAAAGGTCCTCCAGCGTGACTCCAGTCAGCCTTCTTCCTCATCCGCTTCTTCTGGAGCACTACAGATCAGCAGACAGACAGGCAGACAGACTGTTATTTTAATCGCAACCAGAGCCAGTCGGGTTATTCTGGTGGTATTACACTCAAATTAAAGTCCCTGAGTGGCAGGTTTATTTAAATGACAAAGCTCGCTGATGCTATCTTTTCATGTGTGTCACTCAGTCCTCTTTCTATCCCGCCATGTTCTCCCCCTCCTCCCTCCTCCATAGCTTCTCTTGGACTTCAAATCTCACTGTACATTCATATATTCAGTTTCATATTTAATATTCCATCCCTCACATACTTATGTATACATAGCCGTGGGAACATGTTTCAAATGGGGGGTGCTGTGGGGATGACCAATTTGCAGCCCTAGGCAAGATTTGAGCTGGCAATGAAAAACCTCTACAGAAGACCACTACACTACAAACAGAGAAACGTATTGACATGGTGGACAGCTTATATAAAAAGGCTTCAAATGCATTCAGTATTGTATGAACGTGTTTTAATTGGGGGGTGGACATAAACTCCTCTCTGGGGTCTGGGGGTATGCCCCCCCGGAAAGATATGTTGTAACATTTTAAAATAAAATGCTTCAATCTGGTGCGCTTTGAGCAGAATGACTAGAGACTGATCTAAGGGGTACAACTCTAAACACCCATATGAAAAAGATCGGTTTGCATTTTATTAATCAAATAAGTATGTGAACATAACCAATAACCTACCATAGCCAATAACAAATAAATGTAACTCATTTTATTTGTGTTGTTAATTAATTTCTTATTTTACCTTAACATTTATTTATTTATGAATATTCTTTAAACTCTCCAGTTTAAAATGCTATTTTTGGTTTACTGTCCTATAGCATACATTGGAATGATTTCAAACCTGTTTTTATTTATCCTAATAATTATAAAGGTGTGCCTTGGAAATATTTGTTTACATAAATTGTGATCAAACTGTTTGAGACCCACTGAGATAACTTAGACTAAAGTGAACTATCTGAACCCTCAGAGTCCTTTACCTCACTGAGCCTCTCAGTCTGACAGGAGAGAGCTCTCCTCCACATTATTTCTCTCTCTCTCTTCTCTCTCTCTCAGCTGCGGGCGCCTGATAAGCCAACACCCCCCACTTTCACCACGTACAGCGCCCATCGTACAGGGTGAATTGAAAATGTAACCGGGGTGAAAAGGGTGTTATTTTCACTTAATTATGAATGTTGTTACAAAAAAATCAATTTTCAGCCTTGATGTATTATATTTCCAATTAATCTTGTGGACGTGCAGATTCCCTGTCCTCCATCAGGGGGTGCTGCAGCACCCTCAGCACCCCTACTTCTCACGGCCATGTATGTGTATATACATACATACATACATACATACATATATATATACATACATACATACATACATACATACATACATATATATATATGCTGCTGCAACACAAACATTTCCCAAATTGGGAGTACTATCTTATCTTATCTCGTTGCACTTTTGCTTGTACATGTGATGTTTTGGTGTTTTGTTTATTTCCGTTAACTGTCAAGTGGGAACTAAGTATTTTTTGAACGTTTTTGTGTTTCTCTTATTTTCCTACGATACCGTTATGTTTGGCTGTGAATAAGAAAATCTGAAGGACAGACCATCTATTTCTATTTATTTTGTTTTTTTAGAAAGGGGCAGCTAATATAAGATTATTTTCTTCTACCTGCTCCTTTTCGGTCAATGGTGTGTTTATAGAGATATGTTTTGAAAACAATTGTTATACATTAAGTTGTGCATACCAGCCTTAACATGGACAAAGTTGGGCAAACCTAGTATTGCACAGTGGTTTAGGGAACTTTCTCTATGTCTGCCTTTAGAAAAAATCACTTACATTCTCAAAGACAAACAAGAAGGTCCAGAAGGTCTGGGGACGTTTTATACAGTATACCAAGAACAACGACATATCTCAACTTCTGAACGAACCTGGGGCAGGATAATATGTGATAATATGTGATAATATGTGATAATATGTGATAATGTGATAATATGTGATAATATGTTCATTAAATTACTGTGATAGCCTCTGCAGAAATACGGTCCTATTGCTGGGAAACTGGACGGTTGCCGATGTATAAAAGTGCCCTTGTTGTATGTATGTACCAATTTAATTGAGTGTTGTTATTTGTCTTTAATGTAAAGTAATGTAGTTGTCCTGTGTATATGTATGTATTGCTTTGGGCTCTATGTCTTTGTCCTATGTATGGGATTCTTTTGTATGCTGAAAATCAATAAACATATTGATAAAATAAAAAAATGAAGTCTTATCTCCTCTCTCTCTCTCTCTCCTCACCTGTGCTGTAGGCCTCTCCTGGGTGGGAGGTGAAGCAGACGATCTGCAGGTGGGGGAACTGGGAGGTCATGTAGTGTTTCCAGGCGATCACCAGTGGGGGAGGACACAGGTCGGCTTTGTTCAGCACCAGGATCACCTGCTTCCCCAGCTCTCCTGTGATGTAGTTGTACAGGGACGGAGGGAACTGCAGCACCTGGATGGTTGAAGTACGGATACCCATCGATTAGAAAAGTAATTATGGCCAAGTCAACGAGTAAAGGACTAGATCTTATCCTTATTAAAAAGGGAGTAGACGAGTTGTGCTGTTTTTAACTTTACATTAATACTGGATGATGGCTGCTGTGTCTTTTGCCCCTCTCCAGCCCTGCCTTTTTATCACTATATTTCAGTGTTTGTTTACTTGTTTCGTTGTGTGCTTTTAACTTTGTCCGCTAAATGCGAGATTTTGTATTTTTGTATTTTAGTATACATGCTGCATTGTTGGAGGAGCTCAGGTCAGAAGAATTGAATTGCCATTTCTACACTGTAAACTTTGTGCATATGACCATAACACCTTTGAACTTAACTATATGTGATTTGAAAGTATACGTTTGTCGGCAGCAGATGTCTGATAATCAAGAATTTAATTTAAAATTGGTAATATTAAGATTTCACAAATACGAAAATAAATTGGTCAATGAGAAAAAAATTTGGTAAGACATTGATTAACTGAAATGCTGATCTCAGGGTCAAATTGATCCGAATACTGAACAGGACTATTGAATTAGTCCCAATCAATCAATCAATCAATCAATCAATCAATCAATCAATCAATCAATCGGGCCAAGAAACCTGGGTTGAATTAATGAGAATAGTCGACCTAGTATTATTGTAGCTAGTGTTTGTGAATTAGAAGTATCAGATGGGATAGTAACATCATTTTCATTGCGTCCTAATCTTTATCTATGTTCATTTATAACTCTCATTAAGTGTTTTCATCTCGTCAATATGCATTTGTTGTTGTTTGACACTTTCCTGAATACAGCAATATACATGTATACAAATAAAAACATGTTGTGATTTGAAAGAATAATTAGAATGATGTGGTAAAACATAATGAACACCACGTCAGATCTTCAGATGGATGTTGACTGTGTCTCCATCTAGTGGTCAGATTCTTTCCTACAGGCTGTTGTTTGAGAGATCACCTACCGGGTGCCTGATGTCCACGATTAGCAGGATGACGTCTGACATCTCCAACACTCGCCACAACTGCCTCCATGTCTGAAAGATGGAGAATAGAAGTGGGATGTAACAGGAGGTTTGATATTATTATTATCACATGTATGTTCCTATTTAGCATGATGGCTTATTAGGAAGGAGGTATATTAGGATTTTCTTATAAATACTTTGTTGTAATGTACTGCTCCCTTTTAGAAGTATACAAATGATATCCGGTGAAACATAATTTCATTCCTCAGCTCCACTTCAAAATCCATCACCTCTAGATTACTGCGAGTCACTTATTACACCACCAGCTGCACAAGCTTCTGCCTCCTGAGCTCAGCCCACGCTGTGAAATTAAAATGATCGGCAGGGTTTTTAACTCACAGCCTGAGCAGAACTGAGATATATCACACCAGTCAAGGTACATTGGGTCTCCTCTGGGAATACAAGGGAATTAACAGGCATGTAACACACTTCCTACACATCCCTGCATGATCCCACTTTAGAACAATGACATATTAAATGTATGGTACGTCCTGCAGTTAAAAGCTGGAGAACAGCTTCAACAATTATGTCTATTATGATGAAATTGGCAAAGCAAGTGTGCTGGGTAATCAGCAGTTCAAATTAAACACATTCATTTAAGTTTGAATGGCTTTTAACGGGATTCAGACATAACTTAGATCTCACAGAAAACGTGCTGACGGTCAGAGCTTTCAAAACCTAGATCGAGATAGAAAATCAGGAAGCTCTGACCTTTATTGTTGTGATTTAATACAAAGAATGGAGTGAATTTCGACCGTTTGGATGACATTTTAGGAAGATCATGAGAACTGGGGCCTTACATTTCCTTTATTCTAGTGTCTGTTAATTACTCTAATATTATATTGTTTATGTTGTAATTTTGAGGCTTGCACGCACAATACTAATTATTTTTATTTTGCTTTAGACCCCAAATACCACTGGAGACGCTGTAGTACAGTGTTTTTCAAAGTGGGGGCCCCGACCCCCCGGGGGGCCGTCAGGGGGGTCACGCAAAGCTTGAGGGAAACAGGATTTATTTTTAAAGTTTAATTTTAATACATTCTTTTTTAGATGTTATTAATAACTGCATATCTATCAATCTATGTCCTTTGATGACAATCTTTTCATATTTGTTGTTTTTAAATCACACGACCGCCCTTCAACCCAATCAGAATCGAGCTGCCGCTACTGAGAGTGAAACTGAGTATCTGCTCTGCTTTTGGAGCAAGTGAGAGCTAGTGAATGTTTCGCTCTGCAGCTGGATGAGAGCACGGATGTAACAAATGTCGCAGAATTGCTTGCATACATCAGATTTCTTTACAAAGACAACTTTGGTGAGGAAATATTATTTTGCAAAGCACTGGAAGGTAGGACCACAAGAAGAGACATTTTCCAAGTTTTAGATGAGTACATCATCTAGTGGCAACACACTGCATGTTCCATCGGGAGGCACTTGTACACATCATTTAAAAAAAAAATATTGCAACAGGGGGTCCCCGCCAGAGGATATATATATCTATCTATATATAGATATATATATAGATATATCTATGGGGGTCCTTGGCATGGCAAAGTTTGGGAACCCCTGTATGCCGGGCCTGTAAGTGGCGCTGTACTTCCGCACGAGACCGCTCAAAACAAACTGTAGATACACTAATAAAGAACAGAAAATGAGTTTCTGGCACTTTGATGGACACAGAGGCCTTCAACAGTGTGTCAGTAAGGTAAGATGAGATGAGATAAGAAGTACTTTATTGATCCCAATTTGGTAAATGTTTGTGTTGTGTGTAACTTACCTCCAGGTTGTGCTCAAAGTGGCTGAGAGAGCCCTCGGGGTTTCTGGAGTGCAGGTCATCCAGGTGTTCTCGGTACGACTTCTCCTCTCTCTTCAGCAGGTTCTCTCGTGTCATCTCATAACTCCAGGGCGGTCGTCGTGGGAAACCAAGACCTGGTAGTGAATAATTTAATTTCAGCGTGTCAAGCAGCAGTGACCCACTCCATTAACCTACTCTGCTTATCCGTCTGAGTTATTTTGAGACTGTCATGAGAAAAGCATAAAAAAACAAAACAAGTCAGACCTTTCTCTGGAGGGAAGACGTCGTCGATGCTGATCTCATCCTCTTTCCCTGAGAGTAGCTTCAGCACCTTCTCCCTGGCCACCTTTTTCCTCTTTTCCACTTCTTCTTTACTCTCTTTCTCAAAGTGAAGTCGGAACCTGGAGAGAGGATGAGGGCGTCAAAAGGTTTGCCTAACATTGGGCTGATATATCCAGGGGTGCACATAATTGTTGCGCAGGTACTCATGAGCGGCAAAAATCTGAAATGCGTACCGTCACTTGTGCATAAAGTGCATTTGCATACCGACGTACTTGTGAAGCTTTTCCAGAAGGCGGTTAGATCACCGGACGACAGAGTCGGTCTCCGTGTGCACAGACAGGGCTGCTGTTAGCGTCGGTCTGTACAACGGAATTGTGCCAAAACTACGCCAACCGGCTGCGGAGGGAGACTCCCCCCCTTCACTGGAGAACTGCGCTAAAACAGCTGATCACAACGTTCACGCTCTGTGGTCACGGAGTACACCAGCACTAGCACCCCCTACCCCTGTTGACGTTCGCGATACTTTGAGTGGAGCCAGAAGTTGGGGTACGAACCACTGACTCCAGGTACTCATCTGAGTACCTCACTGAGAAAGTTATGTGCACCCCTGGATATATCTACATTTTAAATCACACAAACTTGAGAAAAAGATGTCTCAGTTAGTTGAAGAAACTTATATTCCTCGAGGCATCAGACTGCACAAGTGGCAGCTTAATCAGAACAGGTCTCTTAGCTATTTTACTTATTCGTTACCCTGTGTCAGCGTCAATTTGAGCAAATGTGTTTTATCATATTCGATAGTATGTTGTGATCTTGTTGTGTATGTTTATCTAATGTTTTTACTGTAGACTTAACACTTAACATTAAAAGACCTCTCAATTGTACATGAACACAGGATACAAATATAAGAGCAATCAGGAAAGCCATGTACAATCAAATAAAGTACCTAAAATATGTTTAATATACCTCATGCAATCTTTGATATATAGCTCCAAGTAATTATGCGATCACTTAGTTACCAATTAAAACATCCTACTGCTGTTCGCACCGATGCATTTTAGGTACTAGCAGCTATGAACAAAAACAAGACGCCTATGTGTATTAATCCCAGCAGAATCTTAAACCTAAAGAATACCATTCTTCTATGAAAGTTAAAAGGGATTGTTAGTATGGATACTGTCGCTACAACTCACCTGTTGGGGTCATATCTGCCTTCCCTGGCGAAGGGCTGCTGATTTATTTTCCTCACATCAGTGGTTTCGCTGTCCGAGGTGTCTGACTGTCGCTCTCCTCGCTCCAGACTGGCATTGCGGCTGCTCGGCCCTGAACCTGTGTCACCTGGAAGTCAAAGATCAGGGACCACAGTTAAACACAGACATACATCCAATACCAACTATATCTAATGTTGACACTCATGCTAGCTGTCATGGATGCCCTGTGACAATTAATTCACGCTTTTCTTCCTTGATTCAAAAGTCAAAACTGCTTTTATAAAATCCTCCGTCATCAATGGAAATATTTGGTTTCATTGCAATTGATTTTAAATGTATTAATATCTTCCCCACAAGTGTTGGAATATGCAAATTCAGGAAAACCAGACATTTTCAAAGTGTGTGTATGGCATGCTATAATATTATTTCATGTTTCAGAAAAAAGGTCAGAAATTCCACAGCTTTGACAGTCACAAATGATGTCCTTTTCTTGAATATATAAAGCACATGGGAATATATGAGCCAACATGCGGTTACTGTAAAGGGCTGTTTTGAAATTGCTCTCAGTCTAAATGACAGTACACTACCACATGACCTTTACCAACGTAGTCATATTTTGGGTTAATGAGGTTATAGCATGTAATGATAGACACATTTTGACACCTCTTTTACAATACTACTTACACTGGTCAAGATAAGTTACTAATGTCATATTGCTTGTTATTGCGGCTAGCATTAGCCTACAGAAGACATATTTGTTATCTAGGCTAAATGATAGTTTAAGGCTCTAATTGAAAATACTCAACCCAACAAAGGCACACAGACACACATTTTGCTGCTTAATCACAATTATCAATGGAGTCAGAACCGTTAGGTAGCAGCTAACGCTAGCATTGCTATGCTAACGGCACATACCTCTCTTTCTCTCCCGTTTGCCTTGTAGCTGTTTCTTCTTCTGTTTGGTGCTAAATGGCTTTTTCCGGGGCATATTTATAAAGTAAGCTGGTAAATAAATATAGCTATGTACTGCGAATTGCTATCTACAGCGTGTCACACAGCTTTCTTCTTGACGTTATTTACATGGATGAAGTTTCTCGACTCCTACACTTTTCAGTGACGCCATATCCACTGCAGACCGCAGAGCATTTTGGACGAGACCACATTTCAGCGTTTCAAAACTGCCCGAGTTTTGATCATTTGGTATTTTTTTAGATTGTACTATTTAGATTTAACTTAACGCCGAGTATATAGCTTCATTCCGTGTACCATTACACACAGCTACTACATGTGTGGTGCCTCAGCTGACATTAAACCACCCTGCTATTTAATGGTACAGTCCACTTTTGTAAACACCTCACACATTCCATAGGAGCAGAAATGCTTAGAACAATATACTTGGATGCACAGTAGCATCTATTAATACTTTTATGCATAACACATGAAGCATAGTGTTTGCCTCTCTGTTTATCAGGTTTTAAATGTTTCCTATATCATGGCAATAGTTTCTTGACAAAAACAATGAAAATAAATTTGAAAAATGTGTCAATTCAATATTTAGCCTACTCAATCTACAAAAAAGTAAAAACTTAAAATCTAAGTAATTTGATTAAGCCAGAGCATCTTTGTAGCCTCTTAAATGTTATTGCGTTTTTGGATTTTGGACTGCAATCTAAAAGGAAAACTTTAGCTTCATGAAATTGTTTCAGTCTTTTCTGACGTTGGTTAGACCAAAAGAAAGACAAATTAACTGAGAGAATATTAACATTATTTTAGGAGTGGCCCTAAATCAATACCCTTGCATATAAACACTTTCGCACATAAGGGAATAATGCCAATAATGAGAAACATTTCAGAGGGTTTATTGAATTTTTAAGCCTGAAAAAAAGAGACAAAATCCAGATGTGTCAGTATATCTAAAAGGAAGTATTATAAACATTGTTATCATGGAAGTGTAACAGCAAGAACATATTTAGATAACAATAATTTTAGGACACACACACAAATAAGTACAATAGGATTACATGAAACGGCTCATCACTTCCTCAAAGGTTATGTGACGGCCTACGAATGGGAGTAAATAGGTTATATGGATTACCACATCCTTTAAACACACAATCATACTTTATAAACTGGTAGTATATATATCTATATATACTTGATTGATATTTTCTCTTTCCTGAAAAAGAAATAACCTCTAGTCCCTTTTCAGGTAAAACAAGTAAAACACAGTAGAGTGATGTAAAAACTGTCAGTCCCTGTATGAAAGTATAAAAAATTACCTTCTCAGTCAACTATCAGCTTCATCTACAGACACCATAAATTGCTATGGCCAGAACTGTATGTGTGTGGAAGCGCAGGAGGTGGTAAAACAAGGATGAGTAGAATCACATCCTATCATAAAGCCATCACTGTGATGAACTGAAACATACTTTATTGCAGCCTTTACATGCAGCTTCCAGTAAGACAGATAAACAACAGAAACAACAGACCAAACAGGGCAGAGAGAAAAACAAGAGAGACAAACTAATACAAAAATAAAACTAAATTAGTCTTCAGTATACTTTTCACCCATATGGTTTGTCCCGTCTGTCTCAAACAAAAGTTCAGGCACAGTCTTGTTCCAAAGTTCGTCTTAGTATTGCTTTTATCCCCCATCTTCACCTCTCTCCTCTAAGAGTTGAGGTGCTCCACTCGGATGGTGGATGCCGACACAGTGAGGCAGAGGTCTTTGTGGGAAGTGAGGTCCGCTACGGTGACTGGTTTGTACTGGATGTCACTGGCGGACACAGTCTTATACTGGTGCAAGTCAAAGGGACAGGACATGGCGTCTGTCTGGTAGCTGCTCTGTCCCTGCTGTCCTCCGTCTGCTCGGTTCGATCCTCCGTCTGCTCCGTCGTCTCGGCTCTGAGCGGACACCTGGCTTTGGTTCTGGTTCTGTTGTCTGGCCTGTTCTGCGTTCAGCTGGTCGGGGTTGTGTTTCTCCATGTGTTTCACCAGATAGGTCTCCTGAGATGAGGGGAGACAGTGGACACATGACTGCACTGCAAAAACAAAAGCTGCCAGGTGTCTGGTGGCAGCGAGGCGTAGAAGTGGTTTTCAGAGAAAGCCAAGTAATACCTTTTAAATGTACAACCTTTGAAGTGTATACACGTTCGATAGCTGAAACCAGACCCTCGCACATGTAAAAACTTGGATTCAAGTCGTATCGGAGCTCAATCAAATGGATTAATTGACGTATTTAAGCTTCAAAAATCTAATTGTGTGTCATGGCTTTATTAAAACAAAACTTCTGCAGACCATGCAGATGTATTTTGGTTTTGTCCACATGTAAAGATTCTTTGAGAAATTAAATGGCCGCTTCTTTTCCAGAGATTCTACACCTGAAATCAGACACTAATTTTACCTTTTTGTACCATGGAAATATCCCTAAAATCAATCTGTTGTTTTGTCTGTCTGGCTTTTGTTTTGTTGTGTTTGTTTTTGCCCTATTACTTGTCAAGCGACCTTGGGTCCCTTGAAAGGCGCTATATAAATCCAAGCTATTATTATAAAAGTCATAATTAGTGTTAAATACCTCTTGAGGATTAGAATACTAATTAACTATTACTATACTCCAAAAAGACAAAGGGGACACATGGGGAAAACTTGGATCGTTATAAACTTCAAGGATGTTAAAAATGTCTTATTTTTGGTCTGACCTTGGTCACACACACACACACACACACACACACACACACACACACACACACACACACACACACACACAGGTTGGTACATATAAACCATTATTTTGGAGTGGACAATACTCCCCTATTTCATGTGTTATTTAATCTCTTCTTGTACTTGAATATTATTTGTACAAATATTATATAGGAGGTAAAGAAAGGAAATATGAGTTGACTCACGGAGGTATAAGTGCGGTTGCAGAGCCCACAGGAGTAGATCCTGGCGTGCTTCACGGTGTGTGTGGACATGTGCACCTCCAGGCTCGCTGCGTCTACGTATCCTTTGTTGCAGTTGCTGCACTTGTACGGCTTGTCCTTGTTGTGTTGGCGCCGGTGAGACTGGTAGGGGGGGGGGGGAATGGTTATTGACACTGGTAAAAAACACATTTTTTATGCACTCACTGTCGGAGAGGGACTCAATGCTTTCTCACCTGTAGATTTGAGAGTTGCGTGAAGGATTTCTCACAGCCTGGATGGATACACTTGTACGGCCGATCTCCGGTGTGAATCCTGAACACAGAACAAAAAGCACACATGTTCTTACACGGACTGCTATCACTTTCATGGTGATGGAACCAAAGAAAGACACTTCTGCAGAGGAGAAACCCGACACTAAGGGACTCTCTTACCTGTTGTGCTGCTGAAGATGGCTGAGCTGTCTGAAGCTCTTTTGGCAGAAGGGGCAGGAGTAGGGTTTCACTCCGGTGTGGATGCGGACATGTTGGGCCAGGTAGCTGGAGTTGGCAAATGACTTGGTGCAATGTGGACACTTGTGAGGCTTTGACTCTGTGTGGTTCCTGACGAGGGGGGGAAGAGAAAGGGGTTTTAAAAAAGGTAGATTCGAGGAAAAAACAGTGATTGACACATACTGAAAAATGAAAAGTAGTTGAATACATTTGATATCATTCTTAATTTAACTGCTCTACAGATGTTAGCTGTGTATTGCTTTATTTGAGTGTTTATACAAGCATCGCATAATTATTTTTGACTATGTCACATATCATTTTTACACATATCCGTCTGCCAGTGTTGATTGGACATATAACAACTGAAAATTCCTTGACGTTCCTCTATAAATGAAATGTAAACTGATTCAATGACAGCCAAAAACATTCAAATTAAGCTGAGAAAAAGAAAGCAGGGCATGACAGCAAAGGATTTCTATCGCACATCACACTGTTCAATGGATAATGTATGGATGGGTTACATGGGGAAGCATAATGGACGTAAGTCTGTCTTTAAATCTTCATTTCAACATGTGTCTTTGTACATGTGTGTGTGTTTCTGTTGAAGAAGCAGGAGAGATGACAGAACATGCAGACAAAAGAAACATGGAGAGTGGGAAAATGCAATGCAAACGAATACAGAGAGAAGCAAGTATTACATACATGACAAAAAGGTTCAATCTTATCAAGAACAAAGCTCCATGCATTTCAAATGGCCTTTCGAAATTATGGAAGATCTTATGGACAAAGCCCAAACTCTAAAAGTCCTAATCTGAATGCTAATGATCTGGAAAAGGTCACTTCTGGATGGAACTGGTATAGCATGCAAGCCAACATCTACATGGCGGTTTTCATATGCATCTGCACACCAATCTCTTTCCCCAGGAGGAGGAAGAGGAAGGGGGGACTTGGGCAGGACACGTTAAAGAGGACAGGGGAATATGGCGCGTGGTCGGTAGCGGGGGGGGAGGAGGGGTCTGCAGTACCGTGTGTGCTGCTGTAAGTGACTGAGCTGCCTGAAAGATTTCTGGCAGTAGGAGCAGGTGTAAGGCTTGGCCCCGCTGTGGATGCGGATGTGCTGGGCCAGGTAGCTGGAGTTGGCGAATGACTTGGCGCAGTGAGGACACTTGTGAGGTTTGGCCTCTGTGTGCGACTTGGAGTGGATCTGCATGTCAGACTTACTGAGGAAGGTCGCCGCACACATCCGGCACCTACAGGCGGAGAGACACAGAAATGGGAGGAAGAATGGAGGAGGAGGAAGAAGAAGAGACACCAGATGATGGAGGAAGGAAAGAAGTGGAGACAGGGGGAAATGAAGCCCACAGGAATAACCAAGATGCGACAGAAAAAATGAAACTCATAATAAATAGGAGAATAGAAGATAAATCAATGATGACAGAGGGGGAAGGAGGGGTAAACACAAGGAAAGGTGCCAAGGGAGAGATCAGTGAAAACTGACAGGGAAAGGTACGGAGATACTATAAAAAGCAGAAGAGTGCTTCACAACTAGAGAGCATGCTATTTAAAGACAAGGAGGACAGTAGAGGGCAGGCAGGGAGTTATGCCTCGTGTGTGCAGAGGCAGAAAGAAAGCTCTGACGTGTTTGTGTCTCAAGTCGGAGGAATCAACAGTCCACTACAAAGCAGGCGTGATCTGCCACATCATGCAGTGAAGTGTGTTCAGAAGCGGCGTGTGTGTGTGTGTGTGTGTGTGTGTGTGTGTGTGAGATGCTTATGCAGCCTTGTTATCTACGAACACATCTCTACTTTGATTTGGACAGAAGAACAGGTGTGTTTGCATTCCACAGCTACAGCGAGCAGAGAAAACGGCAGGTGTGTTTGTTTTGGTTTGCGGCCTACCTGTAAGTCTTGGTGCTGTCTTTCAGCCCGTGTTCCTCCTCTTCGTGTTTCAGGTCGTAAGGGTCGACAGTGTGATGCTGCAAAGATGCCACCTGTCAAAAGAAACACAACGTTATTTGATCATGTTTTCGTTAGCTATTTTTAAATAACATGTCTCCTGCTCACCTGTCCGCCTGCTGTCAGGTGAGCCAGTATTAGTGTTTCGTTTCCCCCCAAACCGACTCTGGACAGCGTCGTGGTCTTCTTCTTTCTGCCTCGCTTAGAGGGCGCCGGCATCACAACAACATGGGGAGCACCGTCCCCTTCTTTTTTCTCTGCAACAGGATCCACAGCACCGGGTTGAAAGCAGAAATACTCTTTAAGATTTTCTGTGGGTATATTGGCATAAAGTCGAAAATCAAAGTATGCAGCAGGAGATCTCGTGTTTTAAATTGTGCATGTTCTTTCAGTCGTAGTTCGAATGGTTTAGGCGAAAATTGTTTTCTGTTCTTTACTGAGAATCTGTTTTTCAAATCATGATCAAGCCTTAAGAATCATGTCCAACAAATGGTACTGTACTTATATATCTTTAAGACCCCTCAACATGTCATTCACCCGTTCATACAGAGCAGTGTACCTTACTCTAAGACCTAACATTCACACACCGTTGGCCATCGGGAGCAACTCAGGGTTAAGTATCTTGCCCAAGGATACATCGACATGTTGACTGCATGGGCTGGGATCTAACCCACAACCTTCTGGTTGAAAGACGACCGCACTCCCTTGCAGCCACAGTCGCCACAGCTTTTAAATCAATAAAACAGCACAAATACACCAACAGTTTGTAAGCAATCTCCTCGAAATGTTTTTAGTAATGCTGTCAAAATTATCGCGTTAACGGCGGTAATTAATTTTTTGAATTAATTGCATTAAAATATTTAACGCATGCACAGAATGGCCCGCCCCATACATCCCACCAGTGGCAGCGCCAGGGTATGGCTGGGGTAGGCTACAGCCATACCAAGAAATGGCTTAGCCCCACCATGAAAAACTATGTTAAAGTAAGCAAATTAAATTAAATAATAAGCAAAATGCTAAATGTTGAGAACACAGCTTGCGAAAATATACGGGTCGTGTCCACAACACACAAACTGATCCTGCTGTAACAACAAGTGCACGTTACTGATGCAATATGGTTGAGACCATTCAGGGTTATGCTAGAAGAGGGGTGCAAGGAATAGTCTAAGTAGTGGGGGAGTTTTATACACTAAAGGTGTGGAAATTCTCTGGCGTTATAATATCAGCCCAGCCGCGGTCAGATCAAAATGCCTCCGAATGCATAGAATAGAGTAGAATATTTAAATCTATTTGAATAGAGTCAGACCTACAGCCAATCAGAGCAACGAAACGTTGGGTCTGCGTCATGCCTTACTGATTGAGATCAATCGGAACCGCCATTCAGTATCCCCATTGGATCTTCCACGTTACTACCAACTGGGAACAAAAATATAAACGCAAACACTTTGTTTTTGGCTCCCATTTTTCATGAGATGAACTCAAAATCTAACATTTTTCTACATACACAAAATAACCATTTCTCTCAAAATATTGGTCACAAATCTTGAAAAAATCTGTGATAGTGAGCACTTCTCCTTTGCGCCGAGATAATCCATCCCACCTCACAGGTGTGCATATCCAAGATGCTATTAGAACAGCATGATTATTGCACAGGTGTGCCTTAGGCCTGGCCACAATAAAGGCCAACTTGAAACGTGCAGTTCTTGCTTATTGGGGGGGTCCTGGGGGGGTCCGAAAACCAGTATCTGCGTGTGAGGGTTAGGATTTAGGTTAGGGTTAAGGATTGGGTAATGGTGTGAATACGAGTAGGACCATGGTGGTGGTGGGGTTATGGATGGGCAGGCGTATGTTATGGACGACGAAACCAGCCACTCGATCACAACATTACCCTAACCCTAACCCTAACCCTAAATCCCTAACCTAATCCTAACCCACACCAAGATACTGCTGGTTTTGGGGAGAAATGGTTATTTTGTGTATGAGAAATGTTTTAGATCTTTTGAGTTCATCTCCATGAAAAAGGGAGCAAAACAAATTGTTGGCGTTTATATTTTTGTACGTCACGTACTATAGACAAAGTGCCGCTTTTATTTCATACAGTTCCATTTTGATTGAGACAGGGAAATAACTTAGAACCTCACGCGTGCGTTCACTGTCAAGGGGGGCGATAGTAGCGTGATTAATTCATTGCAAACTGACTTGGCCCCACCACTGGTGGGTTAGCCCTACCATAGATTACCCAACCAAATACTCTGGCACCGCCACTGATTGTAAGCCTAGTGGGCGATCTGTCAATCTGTCCATATGATCACACAATAAAGCCTCGAAAAGAAATAGATACAGCATGTAAAAGTTATTCTGGGTCTTTGTGATGTCCTGTCATTCAAGCTGTGTACGATGTGGCACGAGTGCATTTTTGTGTGAGCAGAGCGAGCGAGAGAGAGCGCTAGACGTACCATAAGGGTTTTGTTTCCTACAACAAGGAGGAGAGAGCTCTCTTCCACTGTCCAGCTCAGGGAGGTAAAGGACTCTTGAGTGTTAGATAGT